TCATTGATTTCTAATATCATTCCATTATGATCTGATAGAATGCAAGACGTTATCCCTATGTTTTGTTTTTGATTTGTTAAGAGTTGCTTTGTGGCACAAGATATGGTCTATTTTAGAAAAGGATCCATGTGCTGCTAAGAAGAAGGTGTCTTTGCTCATTGATGGATGAAATATTCTATGTTAAATCTAAATTGCATTTTTTACTTCCATAGCTTCTTTTTTTAGTTTTTGTTTGGAGGATCTATCCAGTGGTGACAGAGGAATGTTAAAGTCACCCAGTATTATTGTGTTGTGTGTGTCTGCTTCTTGAAATTGAGAAGGGTTTGTTTGATGCTCTCAGAGGCTCCATTGTGTAGGGCATAAATATTTACAATTGTTATGTCTTGTTGGTGTATGGTTCCCTTGAGCAGTACGAAGTGTCCTTCTTTGTTTCTTCTGATTAACTTTGGCTTGAAGTCCACTTTATCTGATATGAGGATGGAAACCCCTGCCTAATTTCGTGATCCATGTGAGCGATGGTTTTCTTTTCTTTTTTTTTTTTTCCCCATCCTTTCACCTTCAGCCTGTGGATGTGTTTGCCTGTAAGATGTGTCTCTTACACACGGCATATTGTTGGGTCTTGTTTTTGTAATCGAATCTGCCAGTCTACATCTTTTGATTGATGAGTTTAGGCCATTCACATTCAAGGTTATTATTGAAATATGACTTGTATTTTGAAATATGACAGTCATTTTGTTTTATTTTTGGTTTTTAATTCGTCTTAGTCTCTCCTTTGGTTGACTGTTCCTTTAGTGTAGTTCCTCCCTTTGCTGGTTTTCACTTTTTTCTTTTTCCATTTCATCCTCATAGAATATTTTGTGGGGTATGTTCCATAGTGCAGTCTTTCTGAAGATCTCTTCAAGAAAGAGATAGAGATTCTGAAAAGAAACCAAGCAGAAATCCTCAAAATGAGGGAATCAGTAAACCAAATTAAAAATTCATAGGAAAGTATCACCGACAGACTAAACAACCTGGAAGACAGAACCTCAGGCACTGAAGACCAAATACATAATCTTGAAAACAATGTTGTTTATTAAATATTTTTTTCAATAATATCCATTTTTCAGTTGTAGTTGGACAAAGTACCTTTATTTTCTTTCTTTATTTTTATGTGGTGCTGAGGTTCGAACCCAGGGCCTCGCATATGCTGGGCGAGTGCTCTACTGCTGAGCCATAACCCCAGCCCCCTCATGGAAGGTTTGTATTTCATCTTCAAATCTGAAGCTTAATTTTGCTGGATATACGTTTCTTGGTTGGCATCCATTTTCTTTCAGAGCTTGGTATATGTTATTCCAGGACCTTCGACCTTTGAGGGTCTGGGTTGAGAACTCAGCTGAGATCCAAATTGCTTTCCCCCATCTGATATTTTTCTCTTGTGGCCCTTAGAATTCTATCCTTCTTCTCTGTGTTAGGCATTTTAATTATCATGTGCCATGGTGTGAGTCTGCTGTGATCTTGTACCTTTGGGGTCCTATAAGCCTCTTGTATTTGATTTTCCATTTCATTCTTTAACTTTGGTAATTTTCTGATATTATTTCATTAAAAAGATTGTGCATTCCTTTGGTTAGTATCTCTGTGCCTTCATCTCTCTTGATAAACCTTAGAGTTGGGCTTTTCATGTTATCCCATAATTAGGGGAAGTTCTGTTCATGGTTTCTTACAGCCTTCTCTGTGTGGTCAACATTGTTTTCAAGATTATGTATTTTGGGGCTGGGGATGTGGCTCAAGCAGTAGCGCGCTTGCCTGGCATGTGTGCGGCCCAGGTTCGATCCTCAGCACCACATACAAACAAAGATGTTGTGTCCGCCGAAAACTAAAAAATAAATATTAAAATTCTCTCTCTTTAAAAAAAATATCCTTTTTTGTTCCTAGCATAATGGCCCACAGAATATTCTAGATCCTTTAACACTCTTTTTACACATGTTGGAAGAAGCTTGTCTGTGAGAAGCCCTGCTGAGATTTTTCATTAGTATTTGCCAGCTGAGCCTGAAAATTTGTTTTTTCAGAACATCTTAAGCTATAAATGTAACTTTGTGAATAGTTATGACACTACTTAGCTTTTCTCTTTGAGCTTGGATGGGTTTTGCTAGTTTATGATATTTGAGGAATTGCATTTCAATGAAGTTGTTAAATTATGTGTGTGGGGTTGTTCATAGTACTCTCTTATTATCCTTTTAATGTCTGCAAACTCTGTAGTGATGGCCCCTATTTTATTCCTTTTACTNTCTCTCTCTCTCTCTCTCTCTCTCTCTCTCTCTCTCTCTCTCTCTCTTAAAAAAGAAAGATTATGTATTTTTGTCTCATTGCCTGAGGTTCTGTCTTCCGGGTTGTCTGGTCTGTTGGTGATACTTTCCGATGAACTTCATTTTGAGGATTTCTGCTCAGTTTCTTTTCAGAATGTCTATCTCTTTGTTGAACTTCACCTCCTGAAATTTATCTCTGATTTCTCTCCTTGCATTGTCCTTTATGTTTCCACCTGTGTGGTGTAGGAGCCTGATCTTGGCCCCTCACATCACCTGCAGACCCCATCCTTCCTGGTCTCTGATTTAGCCCCCCCATGGGTCTGTCCGGCCCTGCCCTTTTGAATTCCCAGTCAGTCACTTCTCTCCCAGGTGGTTCTGGCAGATCAGTTTAATTATGTACATTCTAAACTCCTTCTCTTGCATTTCTTCTACTGTGTTGTCAATGGATTCCATTATCGGAGCATCTTGGTTTGTTTGGGGCACTTTGTTCCCTCAATTTTCATGTTGTTTCTGTGTCTTCCCATCTAGCAGTGGGGATCTGAGGCTGTACAGTTTCTACCCTGTGGATTTACAGTGTCCCTGAAGGTTTCCAGTACCTCACCTTTAAGGGAGAGACCGATATTAATAGCACCCAGTGCAAACAATATACAGCCTTACACCCAATAACTCCTATCAAGACATCCACAGTTTGGCCGCAATAAACACAATTGGTGTGTTCAATACTGTCTACAACATGAACACTTAATTTGCAAAAGGGTTTACAGTTTCAGATGTTGGACAAAGAGAGGTGGTGTAGGAAGTGATGTTCATGGGGAAGGAGGAGAGAAGACAGACATCCAAAATATGGGAAGAGTGAAAGAGGAATTAATAGAGGTTGGCTGATAGCAAGAGAAAAGAGAGAAAGAGAATCCAAGGAAATAGACAAGTGAGGGAAAATGTATGCAAAATTTAAAGAAATTATGAAATGAAAAAAGTAAAAATAAAAGAATACATAACAAAACTGTAATACACTATGCAGACATTCAAGCCCTCAATAAACTGATGCATGAAAATACTTGGTTTCAAAAATGGTAGAGATGTGAGAGAGAGAGGCAGAGGGAGAGGGGAAGGGAGAGGGAGAGGAAGAGAGAAAGGACCTTGTTGGAAAATAGAGCAATTGTTTCCTTTGGAGCTCAAAAGTTTCTCAGCTTCCCTTCTCAGCCTATAGGTGGGGTTGTCTGGAGTTTGATGGTAGCTCCACCCTAAGGATGGTGAGGACAAAATATATAAAGACAATTGTCGGTCCACGTTGGAAGACTGCACCCCAGGAATCTCCTTTGGTTTCCACTCGTGTGATGTAGCTGCCTGATCTTGGCCCCTTACATCGCCTACAGACCCTATCGTTGCTGGTCTCTGATTTAGTCTCTCAGTCGATCTCTCCCGCCCCCACCATTTTGAATTCCTGGTCAGGCACTTCTCTCCCAGGTGGTTCTGAGGGCTGGGCACCAGGGCCTATGCACTGGTGGTGGAGAGCTGTTCCCTGTGGGGCAGATCAAGACCAGGTGCTGAGATTGGTGGGCCAGCCAAGTAGCTGCAAGCAATGGGCTGGGCTGGGAGCTAGGGAGGGGTTGGGAGACTCGGGATTGGTGAGCTGGAGAGCCCTATTGGGTGCTGGACTGAGGCCAGACCTGGCAGGATCAGGGGATTTGTGGGTGCCAGACTGGGGATGGAATCAGGGTCCAGGCTAGTGTGAGGATCTGGTGAGTGCTGGCCCGAGTGGGTACCAGGAACCCAGTGGGCGGCGGACTAGCTGGCTGTGCGAGCTGAGAGCAAGATGCCCTCACACCCTCTTCTAACCGTCCAACCTGCAGTCGGCAGCCCCATGAGTCCCCGCACGCTTCAGGAGTTGCCGAGCTGGGGAGAGCCCACCTTTCTCCGGGCTCTCTAACCTGTGTTCCCCCAGGCGGACTGCTCCCAGTTTCCGACTTTCCACAGGATTGCTGGGCTCAGCCTGGCCCACACAGACCTAGCTGCAAACTCAGGGATCTGGCTTTCAGTTTCCTTAGGCTCTGCCATGCTGCAGTCCAGAGATGGCTCCGGGATCACCAGATAAAATCTGGTGGAGAGATTTTTTTTTTTTTTAATATCTGATTAGTGATCGAGCAGTCTGTAGTTCGGCTAGGGTAGACTGCTCCTCAAGTCTCAGCATTTTTCACTCTAAGCCTCAGAGAGACGTGGTATTTATTCCTGCTGTTGGGGGACCTGGTTGCAGAGTTGGATGCATACGTGCATTTTCCTGGGAAGTGAGTTCGAAGCTTGCAGCAGGTTCTCAAACTTGAGGGCAGTTTCTAATAATGCCTTTTTGTCTTCACGGCTGTGTCTTCTTCTTCTTTTTTTTTTTTTTAATATTTATTAGTTTTTGGCGGACACAACATCTTTGTATGTGGTGCTGAGGACTGAACCCGGGCCGCACGCATGCCAGGGGACCGCGCTACCGCTTGAGCCACATCTCCAGACCCAAATGCTGTACAACAGATCTCCAGATCTTCTTTTTTTTTTTTTTTTTTTTCCAGTGCTGGGGATTGAACTCACTTTCTCATGTTTTTTCGCCCTCAGCTCCAGGAGGGCCATCGAACCTGAGACCTCAGGCTCCAGGAATAAACTAAACTCCCAGAGGGGGCGATGGCTCTTGGCCCAGGCGCTGCCACCGAGGCCACCTGGCTGTGCATGCGGGACCCTATGCTGCAAGACTTCAACAAGGACTGTGAAGTGTTCCGCCAGCATTTCAGGCAGTTCCAGTACACGCAGGCGGCGGGGCCTCGGGAAGTTTTCAGCAGGCTCTGGGAGCTTTGCTGTGGGTGGCTGAAGCCAAAGATGCGGTCTATGGAGCAAATCCTGGAGCTGCTGGTGTTGGAGCAATTCCTAACTATACTGCCCACGGAGATGGAGACCTGGGTGAGCGCATATGGCCCGGAGAGTAAAGAAAGGCTTTTGGCCCTGATAGAAGACTGGCAGAGACAGCGTCACATACCAGAGCTGCAGGTGAGAAAAGAGTTTGGGGTTTCGGCTATTAGTGCAAAAGAGGAGCTACGGCAGCAGGGCCTGGAACACTCATTTTGTCTGTGTGTCAGTCCACGGCCCCAGTGGTTCTCCAGATCCCTTTTCATTTTCCCTTCCCCTGGAATCAGCCATGATTCCGAACCCTATCAGACAGACCCTGTCTCGCATCCACAGCACGTATTCTGTAATGTCTCCTCAATTATCCGCAAGTGAAATTCACAAATGACATCATCTACCCACGTGCATCGACCATGAGCTTCAATAATTTGCTCTATGGCCTGCAGGCCTCATCTGGCCACAGTCTGTTTGTATGTGCCCTGCAAGGCCCTGGTGATTTTTACCGTCTTCGTGAATCGGTTCCCCAAAAGAGGAGCCGGCGGGGTGTCACAGGCCTGTCATCCCATCCGCTTGGGAGGCTGAGGCAGGAAGATGGCGAGCTTGAGGCCAGCCTCCACAACTTAGTGAGAACCTGTCTCCGATAAAACATAAAAGGCCAGAGGTGCAGCTAAGTGCTAAAACCTCCCTGGCTTCCAACCCTAGTACCTACCAATCATATAAGATCTCAACAAGTAAATTTAAGTGAGGAGGAAGACAGAAAAGAAATGACAGGGTAAATGTAGCCCACACTCTAAAATATGTACTATTTTGGCTCTTCAGAGAAAGTTTGTCAACTGTGGGTCAAGTTGAGTCCAGAGAGGATGTAAAGGAGAATGAACATAGTTGGTTCTTAACGAATGTGCATTTCTGCATAAACATCCTGGGGCTGGACTTCACTGGAAGACATCATGAAGTTGTCAGATGCCTACATCTCTGCTTAGAGTCACTGGGATGGGACAGTCAGACGTTGAGTAAGACTCAAGCACTATGCGCTGTTGCTACTTGCCGCATGATCTCCCCAACTGAAAAACTGTCTTAGTAAATCAGAACAAGTAGAGTAACCATCCTTTGATTTGCACACTGCATTCCTAGGAAATCCAAGTCATGCTAAAATATGCAAAATTAGTCTCTCAGTATCTGGTCACCACAAGGAGGTACTTTAACTACATGAATGCCTGAGGGGGGAACTGCACAGTTGGTAGGGACCCGGAACAACTCTGGTTGGTGAGCAATGCTCCCATCTCTGGTCCACCGAATCCCCGTAGCTGGCACCAGCCAGCATATGTTGGACACTCCACAGGGGCATTGGAAGTGCCCTGGGTTCAGAAGTACCTACCACAGGATGCCTGTGTTTGGGGAGTGCAGGGCTGAGGGGAGGGCGGTGTGTCCGGGAGAGGGGAGCATGTGCTTCTAGCGGGGTGTTGGGGTGCTGGGTGTCCTGTCGGGCAGGGCTCTGCAGGAGCTGTTGGCTTCAGGGCACAGAGAGGCCTGACCAGGAGGCTTCTAAAGGATCCTGCCTCCCCGGGGTGGAATGCGTTAGTGGTTTCCCTTCCCTCCTGTCTTATTAGTTTTGTTTACCATACAAGATTTCGTCTTCATGTGCTCTAGACTGGCACTTGAAGTGCTGCTGCCCAGCACAAGAGCCACGGGCCACGTATGGCTCTTGAGCACTTGAAATGTGGCCAGTGCTGGTTGAGACCTGCTGTGGGTGTAAACTGCAGAGCCCATGCAGAAGCTGTGGGGGGAAGAGGAGGTAGTACTTGGTAATTGTTTGGATTGATTACATGCTGCAATCCTGATGGTTTGCATATGTCGCTTTAAATCTGACGGGCTATTAAGATTGAGGACTCCCTGGTTCCTTTTTTACATTGTGTCCTATGACCACTGGAACATTTTAAACTACACATGTGGCTCTCATTTGACTGCTAGTCAGCAATACTTTGCTTTAGAATGAGGTTAAACTAACTTCACTTCTTATGGATAACTCTAAACTGATGGGTTCTGGCATTTCCCCCAGGTCGATATGCATGACATGCTCTTGGAAGAACTGGCTCCTGTAGGAACTGTACCCATGCCAAACATGCACCTGGAGACATCTGCGCTCCAGGGAATAGGACCTGTCCAGGAGGCTCCCGTGACAGGGGCCTGGATCCCACAGGCAGGGCCTCAGGAGCTGAACTATGGTGCTGCTGGGGAATGCCAGCCCTTTCTGGATCCTGGTAAGGCGAGGTTTTCTTTCTGCTCTTTTGTGTCTGACCGAGCGAGCGCACAAGAGCTCTCAAAGGTTGGGGTTGCTGGGAAACATGAATTCTCCGGTGGAAATGGACCACTTGGATGAAAAGGAGGGGAAGGAAGAGGAGATGTCTCTCTGGGAACAGCAGGGGAAAATGCATTTTGGGTACAGTGGCACGGGGAACAGGCGAAAGTAACCACCCTTCTCATGAGTAAGCAGTCACTCAGCCCCAGCAGCACCTGGGGTACAGGTTTAACAAGGTCTCTGAGCAAAGTGCTGCACACACCACCCTTTGAGAACCACGGCCCTGGACACAAATGGGTGCGTGCTAGCAGGAGAAAAGGCCAGGTGGAGAAAGGCAGCGGGACTTGATGCCTGGGTGTTCCTGTTTCCCTTCCCTTTGCCATTTCCTTACATTGCTACCCACGCCCTGTCCCAGCCCTCCCCTCCCCCACTGAAGCTTGGGCCCAAGTGTGGTGGGAGTCCTCTCCCTTTCCCCAGCAGCTCAGCGTCACCATGTTGGCACACCAAGACACTGTGTAGTCCTGAGAGCACCAAAGAGCCCTGCAGATGAAAATGGGTGGAGAACGGTCCATGTTGCAAAACAGAAATGTGGGATGCCCCCATCACTAGCACTGGGCCAGGGCTTAGCAACTGTGTCCCCTTCCACTTCTCCACATTTATTCCCACAATCAACATTCTGAGCACCGTGAAGAGCCAGGCATCTTGCTGGACCCTGTGACTAGACAGTCCACGAGGAGGCAGGAAAGCAGCCCCAGCTGTCCCGGCACCCACTTCTGGTGGACAGTCCAGATATGTTGGATATGTGATGGGAACGTGTGTGTGTGTGTTGGAGGGCTTAGGATGCTGGCAGAGCACACAGCAGGCGCCCTTGCCATCATTGGGCTGAGGGAAGACCTCTGGAGGAGGGGGATCTGGGGTAGTACTCTAGGATGGATTGGAGTCAGCCATTGAGTGGTGGGAGTGAGGAGGGGGAGCCTTGGCAGAAGGGCTGCAAGTGCAGAGGCCCCGGGGCAGAGAGAAGACCTGCTGCTACACTCTGAGGGGTGGGCAGGAGTCGGGGTGCTGTGTCATTGAGGATAGATTGAAAAGGGGTGACTCAAAAGACAATGAGCAGTTTTGAAATAGAGGACTCATGGATTGATGGGGTGTCATGTGATTGACACGAAAGGTTAAAAGGTGGCATCCTGGTTGCTGGCCAGTGAACTGGTTAGACGACAGTATTGATCACCGACACAGACAACACTGGGCAGGATCAGGTTTTGTAGGTCTAGATGAGTTGACCTTTGAACATGTGGAACTTGGGGCAGTCCTGGGTTTCCAGGTGGAAATGGCCAGTGTGGAATGGGAGCTAAGAAGGGACACCAGGGTTTGAGACAGAGGGCCCAGGGCAAAAAGGGCAGGTCGTGTTCGTTGTATAACTACTGCTCAGGTAGTTTCCTTTACAACCCAGAGTGGCTGGCCTCAGGGCTCAAGCCAAGAGCCACCCACCCTGCAGCAGAAGATGGCCCAGGGACTCACCTCTTGCTTGTCAGTAGCACTGGATGTCGACAGCAGCACCCTGGAGCTACGCTGTAAACCACAGTGAGCATCCTTCTTTGGCCATGCGTCCACAGGAGACATTTCTCAAAAAAGGGTCATTTGTTCAGTGGGCGGAGACCTTTTAAGATATAAATAGACATGGTCAAATGTCCTCACCAACAGTTGTGTGCTGGCACCCTCCTGCTGAAGCTTGTGTGAGTGTCAGTTTCCTTCTGTTAACCTACATTGGGTCTCCTCTGACGGTTTGTTCTTGGCCTGTGACAGTAGCCACGGCTGTCCTCACCATCTTGGCACACAGAAATGGTGCCAAGATCTGTGAAAATCTGGTGGATGTTTGTCAGGTTCACTCAGTATTATTGATGGTAATTTATTCCATGTAACAAGAGTGGCGGCTGGATGCAGTGGCACACCGCTGTAATCCCGTAGGCTCGGGAAGCTGAGGCAGTAGGATCACAGGCTCAAAGCCAACCTCAGTAACCTAGTGAGGCCCTAAACAACTCAGTGAGACCCTGTATCTAAAGAATTTTTTTTTTCAAAAAAGGGCTGGGGATGTAGTTCATTGGTTAAGCTCCCCTGGGTTCAATCCCTGATACCAATAAATAAATAAATAAATAGTTACATAAATAAATAAATAATACCCCCCCCCAAAAAAAAAAAAAAAAAACTGTCTAAAAAGAGTGGCAGATGTGGACTCAGGTTAGATGGGGGCGAGGAATGGGTCGAGGTGCCATGTACTGGGAGCAGAAGGTCGGGAAATGCAAACCCCTGAGAGTGACAGGAGTAGGGCTTCCATAGGCCAGGGAATGGAGGCCCCTGGATCCCAGCACTGCTCAGGACCATCATGACTGGCAGGAAGAGCTGAATTGGTGCTCACTCCGAAAATGCATTGGGTTAACACCCAGGAAGAGGCTCCAGTTTGGGCCAACCTCTCTGAAAGCTGGCACCAAGAGCGTGGTGCTGGGGCTGCAGAACTGAGGAGACTGTTCCCTTTGCTCTGTATGTGGTGCTTACGGGAAGCAGCAGTGGGATATGAGAGCCAAGGGGAAAGCCCGGCACGCAGGGCTGCCCTGTGGCGCAACTCGTGGCTACTAGATGCTGCTAGAGGGCTGCTCTCGGTCCCTGACTAGGTCTACTAGATGCTGCTAGAGGGCTGCTCTCGGTCCCTGACTAGGTCTTTAGCTTCCATTCCAACCAAGGGACTGGTGTGTGGCCTGGTTTCAAAGGGACATTTGATGAACTCTGCAGACTTTGACAGGTTCAGGTCCTTGGGGAATGGTGGGGAAGCAGACCTAGGTGCATTTCCTGCCTTCGCAGACTGTTTGGCTTCTCACCCATCGGGGATATTCTCAGCCCCCATGTTTCTTCCACTGCCTGCCCCGCTTCCTCCCACTCCCCTGTTGCAGTTTCCTCCCAATTCACTTGATGGCAGCTTCCCTTTGACCTCTGCCCTCTGGCGTTATTTGAGCTGTGCCTCCTTGCCCTCTGATCCCATGTGAGCATAACCGAAACTGTGAATTCAAGCAGATTTTTATTTGAAATGCATGTCATTTTTTGGAATCTGGAGTGTACAGTCGTCTCTCTAAGAAAAAGTCAACTTCAGGAGCGCACGCACATGCGCGCGTGTGTGTATGTGTGCATCCTGTGTCTTGATATGATGTTCTGAAGCTTAGATTTCTCTTGGGGTTAGCCTGGTGCAGCTAGCTACCTTGCCACTGTGGTTCAGTGATGCTCGAATTTCAATACCAGCCTCTGTTTGGATCCCACTTTAACATTCCTACCCACATTTCATGTTGCAGTAGCAACGTGGCGTGGCCAGAGATGAGGAAAGAGAGGTAGTCAGCCACAGAGATTGTCAGTGAGGGCAGGGACGGTTGGGCACGGGAAGGAACGTCGAGTGGTGGAGAGGTTACCTGGTTGTTCTAGATGGACACTGTTTATGTTTTCTTGGGGTATTGGAAGAGGAATCCGCTTCTAGGCTTCAGCTGAGACACACATACAGAGGTGCTCCTGGCTGGTTTCCAATCCAGTTCAGTTGTCATTTTCATTCTTACAGAAGTGAGACTAGTAAGCGGTTTTCCAGCTTGTGTTGGCCCCTGCCCCTGCCTCTCTCTGCCCCTTGCGGTCCTAAGAGGACGTCCCTCAGCTTCCCTATGCCAACACACAACAGGAAGATTTACTTTGCATTTTGCCCCTCAGCTAAATACTCTCAGTCCCAAAGTTCCCGTGAAGCTCTTTCAGTTCAGTGACTTTACCCTGGATGGAGCCCTGACTCTTCCACCCATCAGAGGAGAAGGCCTCCAAGTAGGCACATTGGGCTTGTCCCCTCACTTGCTTTTGTTTTCTTGGCATTAAAACACACACACACCAACACTGTGTGGCAGAGGCTCTGGGCAAAGGAAGCCTGACTGAGGAGGAAGCAGATGTGGAGAGGGCGCCTGTCCAAGGCAGAGGAAAACCTGGGGTGACTCACACTCTCCTTCCTCCCCCATCTTCCCTGTGGCCAGGACATGCCACCCCAGAGTGTCGCTGGAGCTGCCGGCTGGACCACAGGAGAAAGCCAGGGATGGTGGAGCTGCTGGGCGCCCAGTGCATGGAGCAATCACCTGAGTCCAGGAGAGGTAGGCTAGGGCTCAGCCAGCGCCCCAGCGCCCCAGCGCCCCGGGAACACCCAAGAGAAACCCGCAGCCTTCCTCCGGGGGAGGGGGTGGGGAGGGTGCCTGTGCCTGGGGGTTCCCACCTTTCCTGGAGGCCGGGAGTAGAGCTGTTCTTCGGCTCCGTGTCCCTGTTTTCCCTGGAACACGGGGACTCCTGCACCTGCCATTTCTTCTCTCGGGTTTGGATATTGGGACGGGAGGCAAAGGAAGTGCGCCAGAGCAGAGAAACCTGGGGTGCAACGTCCATGTCTCGTTTGTTTAGACGCGAAAGCGCTTGGTGCTGGTCCATGCGTGGGCTGTCAGAAGCACGAACCTCTGAGGGCTGGCCCCGCAGTGGAGCTGCTGAGCTCCTCCCGGAAGCGCCTGCACCTCCCCAGGCCCTGTGCGGCGGGGAAGCCCCTGCCCCTGGCAGCCCACAAGCCGAGGAAGCCGCGAGAGAAACCCCATCGCTGCGGCCAGTGTGGACAGTGCTTTGCTTGCAAGAAGCGCCTCTCTGCTCACCTGAAAATCCACACCGGGGAGCTGGGTTACCAGTGCCCCGGCTGCGAGAAAGGCTTCCTGCACCGCTCAGACCTGGACCGGCACGTGCGCATCCACACCGGGGAGAGGCCCTACGAGTGCTCCCTGTGCCACAAGCGCTTCACTCAGGGCGCGCACCTCACCACGCACCAGAGGGGGCACTGTGGCAAAGACACCTCCCAGTGCCACAAGTGCGGCAAAAGGTTTGCCAGCAGGGCCAACCTGATGGGACACCTGAAAACTCACACGCAGGAGAAACGTCACGAGTGCCACAGCTGCGGGAAGCGCTTCAACCGGCGGACAGCGCTTACTCTGCACCAGAGGACTCACACCCAGGAGAGGCCGTTCTCCTGCCAACACTGTGAGAAAAGCTACAGGCAGCGATCCAGCCTCATGATCCACCTGAGAATCCACACCGGGGAGAAGCCCTACACCTGCAGCCACTGCTCCAAGAGCTTCATAAAGAAAGCAGGCCTCATCGCGCACCAGGCCGCGCACTTCAGAGAAGAGTTCCCCGGGAACCCGGTGGTGCGGGAAATGGGTCCCGAGCCATGTGACAGTTGTAACCCCTAAGGGGCTGTGCCTGCGGTCGGTCGGCTGTGGCGGGAGGATGCTTTCGTTTGACCTCCTTTCCCAGAACAGCTTTGCGTTCAGCTCCAGTGTGAAGGCACCTTCCCAGGCGTGCACATTCCAGAGTGTCCTCCTGCTCTTGCCATTTGCTGCCTGGCGAGGTGCATGACATCGTGTTTAATCGCTGGGTTCTTGACCCAAGTCGCCACAGTTTTGCACAAGTAAGAGGCCTGGAAAGGCTGGCATTCCTGTGGGACCTGGGGCCCCTACCCTCAAGGCGGATGTGACCCATCCTTCTGCAGGTATGCAGTATTTTCAAGCGTGAAGGTCTGACCCCTGGAGGAAGTGCACAGGCTCCCCCTCTTTCGGTTTGCACCTTGCAGTTCAAGTCTGAACCTCCTGGAGATGCTGTTCTCAAACATGTGGGCAGGGGGCTGGGGTCCTGGCTCAGTGGCAGAGCGCTTGCCTAGCTAGCACATGTGAGGCACTGGGTTCCATTCTCAGCACCACATTAAAATTAACAAATAAAGATATTGTGTCCATCTACAACTAAAAATATAACATATATTGAAAACATGGGGGCAAGCACTCTTCTGCACTCCTGCAAGAGACCAGGCCAGGAGCACTGCTTTTGTGCAGCCCCGGCGCTGTTTCTGTGTCCTTTGAGGCTTTCGCACGGTCCACTTCTTTCCCCCCTTTTTTAAAAGAAATTTTAATTTGTTATATATGAGAGCAAGCAGAATGCATTACAATTCATATTACACGCATAGAGCAATTTTTCATGTCTCTGGTTGTACACAAAGTCAAGTCACACCATTCGTGTCTTCATATGCGTACTTAGGGTGATGATGTCCATCTCATTTCGTTCCCCCATGCCCCCTCCCTCCTCCTCCCTCCCTTTCCCCTATCTACAGCTCATCCAATCCTTCCATGCGCCCCATCTGCATTATGAATCAACCTCCTTAAATCAGAGAACACGTTCAGCATTTGGGTTTGGGGGATTGGATAATTTCCCCTAGCATCATCTTCTCCAACTCCATCCGTTTACCTGCAAATGTCCTGGTTTTATTCTCTTTTAATGCTGAATAACACCCTATTGTGTATATAGACCACTTTTTCTTTTTTTAAGTGTTTTTTTTTTTACTTGTAGTTGGACACAATGCCTTTCTTTCTTTCTTTCTTTCTTTCTTTCTTTCTTTCTTTCTTTCTTTCTTTCTTTCTTTCTTTCTTTCTTTCTTTCTTTCTTTCTTTCTTTCTTNTTCTTTCTTTCTTTCTTTCTTTCTTTCTTTCTTTCTTTCTTTCTTTCTTTCTTTCTTTCATGTGGTGCTGAGGATCCAACCCAGGGCCTTGCACGTGCTAGGCCAGCACTCTACTACTGAGCCACAACCCCAGCTTCTATACCGCATTTTCTTTATCCATTCATCTACGGAAGGGCATCTAGGTTGGTTCCACAGTTTAGCTATTGTGAACTGTGCTGCAATGAACATTGATGTGGCTGTGTCCCTGAACTATGCTGCTTTTAATTACTTTGGGTATAGACCGAGGAGTGGGATAGCTGGGTCCAATGGTGTTTCCATTCCCAGTTTTCCAAGGAGTCTCCATACTGCTTTCCATATTGGTTGCACCAATTTGCAGTCCCACCACCAATGCATGAGTGTGCCTTGTCCCCTGCATCCTCGCCAACACTTATTGTTGTTTCTATGCCTAATAGCTGCCATTCTGACTGGAGTGAGGTGAAATCTTAGAGTGGTTTTGATTTGCATTTCTCTAATTGCTAGGGATGTTGAACATTTTTTCATGTATCTGTTGACTCATTGTATGTCTTCCGAGAAGTGTCTGTTCAGTTCTTTGGCCCATTGAGATTAGTGCTCTATCGGATGTACATGTAGGACAAAAAAATTGTTCCCAAACTGTAGGCTCTCTCTTCACCTCACGGATTGTTTCTTTTTCTGAGAAGAAGCCGTTTAGTTTGAATCCATCCCATTTATTGTTTCTTGATTTTAATTCTTGCTCTATAAGGAATTTGGGGCCTAATCCGACACGATGGAAACTTGGCCTACTTTTTCTTCTAACAGGCGCAGCATCTCTGGTTGAATTCCTAGGTCCTTGATCCACTTTGAGTTGAGTTTTCTGCATGGTGAGAGATAGCAGTTTAATTTCATTTTGTTGCACAGGGATTTCCAGTTTTCCCAGCACCGTTTGTTGAAGAGGCTGCCTTTTCTCCAATGTACGTTTTGGGTGCCTTTGTCTACTATAAGGTAACTGTAATTATGTGGGTTAGTCTCTGTGTCCTCTATTCTGTACCATTGGTCCACCAGTCTATTTTCTTGCCAATACCATGCTGTTTTTATTACTATTGCACTGTAGTAGGTAGTTCAAGATCTCGTAATGTGATGCCACCTGCTTTACTCTTCTTGCTCAGGATAGCTTTAGCTATTCTGGGTCTCTTATTTTTCCAGATGAATTTTTGACTGCTTTTCCTGTTTCTATGAGGAATGTCATTTGGATTTTGATTGGAATTACATTAAATGTGTATAGTGCTTTTGGTATTATGGTCATTTTCACAAATTTAATTCTGCCTATCCAACAGCAAGGTAGATCTTTCCATCTTCTATGGTCTTCTTTTATTGTTGTTGTTGTTTTGTTTTTGGTGGTGCTATGGTTTGAACCCAGGGCTTTGTGCATGCAAGGCAGGTGCTCTAGCAACTGAGCTATATCCCCAGTCTAAGGTGTTCTTTAATATATTTCTTCAGCATTCTGTAGTTTTTGTTGTAGAGATCTTTTACCTCTTTTGTTGATTCCCAAGTTTTTTTTTTTTTTTTTGAGGCTAAATATGGTAGTTTTCGTCATTTCCTTAGAGGATATGGTAAATATGGTAGTTTTCCTCATTTCCTTAGAGGATTTACAACTGATATACAGAAATAACTTTGATTTATGGATGCTGGTTTTATATCCTGCTACTGTGCTGAAGACATGTACTAGTTCTAGAAGTTTTCTGGTGGAATCTTTTGGGTCTTCTAGGTATAGAATCATATCCTTGGCAAATGGTGCTAGTTTGAGTTCTTCTTTTCCTATATGTATCCCTTTAATTTCTTTCGTCTGTCTAATTGCTCTGGCCAGTGATTCAACAACTATGTTAAATAGAAGTGGTGAAAGAGGGCATCCCTGTCCTGTTCCAGATTTTAGAGGGAATGCTTTCAGTTTTTCTCCATTTAGGATGATGTGGCCTGGGGCTTAGCATAGATAGCTTTTACAATATGGAGATTTGTTCGTTATCCTTGGTGTTTCTAGTGTTTCGAACATGAGGGAGGTGCTGTATTTTATCAAATGCTTTTTCTGCATCTATTGAGATGATCATATGATTCTTATTTTTAAGTGTGTTGAAGTAATGAATTACATTGATTGATTTCCGAATGTTGGACCAACCTTACCTCCCTGGGATGAACCACACTTGATCGTGGTGCACGATCGTTTAGATACGTTTTTGTATTTGATTTGCCAGAATTTTATTGAGAATTTTTGCATCCCTGTTCATTAGAGGTATTCGTCTGGTGTTTTCTTTCTTCATTGTGTCTTTGCCTGGTTTTGGAATCAGGGTGACATTGTCTTCATAGAATGAGTTTGGAAGTGCTCCCGTGTTATCTATTTCGTGAAATAATTTGAAGAGTACTGGTATTAGTTCTTCTTTAAAGGTCTCGTATAACTCAGCTGTGTATCCATCTGGTCCTGGGCTTTTCTTGCTTGGTAGGCTTCTGATGGCGTCTTCTATTTCATCGCTTGAAATTGATCTGTTTAAATTGTGTAGATCAACCTGATCCAATCTGGGCGAATCATATGCCTCTAGAAATTTGTTGATGGCATGGTCCACTTTTGACATGTGGACCATTTCAAAGAGATGAGGCCAACTCATGGGGACAGCACCCAGTGAAGCACAGCAGAGGGTCCCCACCACACAAAGCCCACACAAATACTATGGTGAGAATACAGAACCTGTTAACCTGCAGGCTCTGCCCTGCAGAAGCTTCCAATAAGTGTCAGCTTCCTTGATTTTTGCCTGTTGTTTGAAACGATGAAAGCAAGTAGGGCCTCCGGTTTGACTTGGAGTCTAGCTTTGCTTACCTTCCATGACTTTGAGATAATGTGCTTGCTTGTGCTTTTACAACTACTTATAGTGAAGTTTTCATGTCACTTCCTCTTTGCTCCAAGAGGTGAACAATGTTGATGTATTCCTGTCCATTTTGGTTGTATTGCATTTTGACTAATAAATGACATCCCTTCTATTTCTGCTTTGGAATAATCATTTAGATATTCGTGAATTCTTTCACATGCACCACAGGAAATAAGGGTTGGGTCTGTAGGGCACACTCCTGGAGAGTAGTCTGGGGACTCTGATTTCGAGTCTTTGGCAGCATCCCTGGCACTCGGGCCGGGACAGCAATGTGGAGTGGCATTCAGATGGCCTGCCGCTTTGTTCCCTGTGTTCCTTTGGACAAGTTCTTTTGGAACAATTTTCAGGAAGCTAAAGCACAGTTTATAACAGGTGCCTAGTTTTTGAGGCTGGCAGTCAATACAGAAGGCTATATTGAGGATGTAGGGGAGCCCTGGCCTCTGAGAAGGCTCACCTTCAGGGATTCATCGCTGTCTTTTTCCGAAGGAGAGACAGATCACGCAGCAGCTCTCGTAAGGCTATGCTGCCATGGCATAGCTCTTGGTCCTCCTGTCAGCAGAGAGTCCCTGAAGGGGACCCTGCGTGGGTTTTGTGGCTGTGAACCTCGTGAATCAGCAGGGGTTGTTTCACAGTGTGCCAAGGAGGTTAATCCAGGACAATAGGAACATACATGGGAGTGGGTGCCCAAGAGTCTCACCACTAGGTGGCAGAGGAGAGTYGTTGCTCTTTGCCYCCTACAYCTGAGGTYCCCAGGCCTTCTGAAAGGACAGTCTCTTGCACCTCCAGGAAACTGTGTGGGCCTTGGTCCTCAACCCTCTCTCTGTTCCAGCCTCTG